TGTATTTTATTTCCAAAAAGCTTGGACACTGATTGTCAATTTATATGATAGATTGTCACAAACTAATTGTTGAGAAAGCCTTTAATAGACCAATTCCTTCAATCGGAACAATTTGATTTCAAAAACCAAACAAAGTAAATTAGAAACTGATGTACCCCGAGAAAGAGTATGACACGGTAGAAAAGGGATCGGACAGAAGGCACGCTATGTTTTTACCCCCTTAAAATGTTAAACGTGCTGATGAAGACGGAGCTGGTGGCTTGGATTGGAGTAGGAAAGGCGAAAGCTGTTGCTACCCCGTTGCGCTGAGAACGCAGGACTTATTCAACTGGTCCGTAAAGTGCAACAGACCAGGAGCTGCATCAGCAAGAGCAACAGCAAAACCATTCCCATCATCATCATCAACGCAAAGAAAACGCAGAGAGTTCGACGGGAAAAATGCCGCGATGGTTAAAGGTGACCAGCGACATGGCCATAATGGAACTCGATTCCTGGCCAAGGTTCCGCCTTATGCTTTTGTTGATGTTGCTGCGCCGTTGCTGCTGCCTGGGCATTAATTAACATTTCAATGGAGGGCCGCAGTGGAAGAATAATTTCATTGCATTTAACTGAACGACCTTAAAGTGCTCTGGAAAATGGAAAATGGTAGCCGCAGAGTGCGAGGTGGCAAGCGGGCGGCGGTTTTCTGCGCATAATTCGACTTTTTTCGTGGCCCAGAAGGAAGTGGGTGAAAAGCTGAGCCCTGTGGCATACAATTTGGTTCATGCTGGCCAGAAATGTGCAAGTTCAACGGAAATTAAAGCAGGGACTCGGTTTGTCTGTCTTTCTGACTGCCGTCCACCTCTGAGTAATTTACGGCCATTTCACATATGCAAAACCGCAAAAATCGGATTTTTGCAGGCGTAAGAGACAACATCTGGCCAAATTAATCACAAATTGGAGCGGCTAATTGACACCTGGCCATAAAACCAGGCCCAAGGCAATCGGTCAGTCAGCAAAGTGGCCGCAAGACCGCAGCCTAAACAAACAAAACGGCCAACAAACATCCGAGAGATAAATATATATAAAACGAGAGATAAAAAAGAAACATCATGTACAATGTGCAGCAGGCTCAAAAGGGTGCAAATGGAAAATAAACAAGGTTTATACTGAATCAACATGGGCTAAGGGCGGGCGTAATCGGGTGAGGTGAGTTTGTGTTTTTCTCTTTTAAGGTTTCTGAGGCCTGATTGATAGCCACATTGATAGATGGTCGAAAAAGGAGGAGAGAGTCATTTTATTTCACTGCGGCCAGCGAGTAATTAATATTTACCTCTCTCATTGCTTGGCCTTTTTGTCCCTCCCTTCCGAACGGCTTTCTTGGGCTTTCCACTTAGCTGCGCTTTTCCTCTTTTCTTCAACTTACAAATTACGCACTAATTAAGCAGCTTTCGCCGACTGCCATTTTTCAAAGTCATTCGCGCACTCAACAAGGCCTGGACTTGGGTCAGCTAGGATCTGGATCCGTGTCCCCATCCGCCACAAAATTCGAATTCGGTGGCTCTCACCTCAGTTCAGTGAGGAGTTGGCAGCGCATTAGGCGGCAAAAGTTAATGTGCATAATTAATTCGCTTTTGCACTTTGCCGAGCCGTCCCTTCGTTTTGTTCGGTGGTTGCTTTTGTTTGTTGCCTCTCATTCTGTTCTGTTCTTTAGCGACCATCCCTCCTCCTTTCGCATAAATCAAGTTGGAACGGAGAAAGGACCATGACAATTTTCAAGGTCATAGCAGCTTTTCCTCTTATATAAAATCCATCATACTCTAATTTTTAATTGTCTTTGCCTCTGAAACCTGAAACCACCTGACATTCCCCTTGCCCAAGCTGCAAATTCAATTGGCATAACATCAGGCACAATAAACAACTTCATTTGCAATATTTACTACCAGATAATTGAATAGCTTTCAGCGGAAAAGCTACCAGAAGGAGAGCTACTGATGCTGCGGAGGGTTGGCATTTTCCGAGGCAGCTCACATGCACGACATGACTCGTCGTCTAACATGCAAATGCCAAATTCAATAAACCCAATGGCAGGCAACAAATAGACCAAATTATTACATAGCCGCACGCACAAACACACGTGGCTCGAAGTGGGGTTATTGGTCTGAAAATGTGAGGCGTTAAGCAGACCTCCCATCGAGCGAAACCGCTGAGCTACTTAGCAAAAGCCCCAAAAACGAAAAGAACCCTCTGCCTCCACAGAGAGGGAAAAACAAGAGTTTTTCCAACTGAAATTGAACGACAAAAGTGCGTGCAATTGGCAGCCATATTGCGATACGTAGCCTCCTAAAAAAGAACAGGAAAGGAAGAAAAAGGTCCACCCAAGCATTCATCCCACCCACTAAGTGGAATATACTTCTACTTATTGCGACCATAAGTCGCTGGGGTCGTATGCGTGATATGAGTGTAAGTTAAACAGAATGTCGGCCCCATTTCTTCCCCTTCAAATCGAGACAATTTTCCGCTCGCCGCCAACCCCCCAGGGGACTTGTGTAATCATTTCTTGACTCACAAAATTCATTTAGAAATATCCTTGCATTTCAAGTTGATATACATTCTTTTTTTGCATCAGAAAACTTAAATTTTTTCTATTTACTTTTCCATGGGCAGAACCTCAGTTTGTTTGCCCTTTTTGCCAGATTACTTTTGTTTTGTTTTAGCTCTCGCCTGGGCCGGGGCTATTAATAAATTTCTCAGCTGGGAATTAACATTTACAGTTAGCTGACCGAACAACTTTGCCCGACAAACTTCAATTGCGACACATTTATCAAATCGCTGGGCCCCTCGGACGTCGTCGGCCGTTTAAGCAGCGGCCAGGGAATTGAACTTCACGGCCTTCAAGTCCTCAATTCTCTTTTCTGGATTTTTGCCTTTTTGCCTTTTATTTCTGATTCAGCACACAGAGAAGTACATTCTGGGGATAACTGAAGCATTTCACTTCAGGAATTAACATATGTACATTGAAAAACAATACAAGTTGAGAGATGGAAATTGGTTATGGCTATGAAAATTTATTGTGAAAACAGAAATAACTTTACTGACTTTCTATGGCAATAAGGAGCACGCCTTCCGGGTTTATTTTTTGTGATTTCCTTACTCTTGTATATACAAATATTATATAGACAAAGGCCAGACTGATTGAGAAATAAAGATGAGTTGTTCTTTATTTAAAAACTTTTTTTAACGGGACAATAGATGATAAAATTGCTTAAATTTAAGGAAAGGTAATATATTACTTTAAGAAAAGACTACAATAATAACTAATATCTGATTACTAGGTACCGCTATTATAAAGTAAAGTAAAGAACTAGTATGTATGTATATTTTAAGACCATATATGTAAATAATAATCAACGTGTCTGTTTTATTTTACATCTTAACCAAGACTGAAACCAATCGAAATCACGCTTAAAAAAACGATCTTAACTTAACTTAACTTACGTTAATCGGTTATCGAAGTTGTATCGACACTTAAAGTGACCGTGTAGTCACCTTCTACATATGTATACTCTACATTCTGTTAAGGAACAAACTAAAAAGGAATTTACTGTCTGATTTACTAACACAATTTCTAATGATTTATTTTCTTTAAAATTCCTCCAACTTTCATTTCATTTCATAGATAATATTTATATTATATGAAAATAAAATAATATTTTAAATTAATTCATGATTTTTGTAGAATAAATTGAAAATATACATCACATTTCTCGTCAGTGCATTGCTCCGCTTGGAGAGATTTTGATTTTGACGCTGAGTAAGTGCATAGTTTACAGTTGCCATATCACAGGACTCCCGGCTTAAAGCTTTTTGCATATTTCGGCTGTTGCTGCCGCTCATAAATAATTCAAATAATTTACACGCTTACTTGAGCGCTGTGTGCGTGTGAGTGTGCCATGTGTGTGTTGGTGTGCGTGTGTGGGTGAGCCGCATTATGTGGTTCATTGGTTTGGGCCAAAAACTGCAACCAGCTAGCAGGATCAGAGCAATCAACTACGTACGATGCCGCTGCTGTTGCTGTTGCTGTTGCTGCTGCTGCTGGTGCTGCAGTTAACTAAACTGAACTGAACTCAACTTTTCACTGCACACACATACACAGATTCAGATGCACACACACACACAGATGCAGCCGCAGCAACATAAACAGAAACATCTATATAGGACTCTTGGTGGTTACTGCGGTTTGCATTTTCATATCGTTCCCTCTAATATTTCACAACAAGTTTTGTTGTTGCCTTGGCTGCTGGCACATAAAAAGGCGAAGCTGCTGCGTTTTATGTTGTCACGTTGGCTTCAAGTGCCCCCAAAGGGGAAATCCCCTTTTTCCAAGCACACACGCACACACACTGCCCTAGCGCACCAACTCACACACACACACACAACACACCAGTTTATGGAATAAGTAAACACAAAGAGCACAAATGAACTTTCCTTGCTATGGTAGAAAATTTTGTAGTTTTAATTTTTGATTTCACTACGGACGAGGTCTTTGAAAGGGAAACTTATATGGCTGGGTTTTATGGCAACAAGGGTCCTTTCGGTCCACTTCAAGCTGAAGCGTTTCCAAATATCACAGAAAGAGTGGATATTTGTGATATAAAGATAAGGTTAACTTAATAAAAATACTATTAAATAAGTAGAGCCACTTATCAACATATTCAAAAAATTTCAAAATATTTATCAAACTACAAAGAGTGGAAGAATAACTAAGACTCTTGGAAAACGATTATACTGTTAGAAAATTATACTAATTCTTAAGTACGAATAATTTTCATTGTAGTAAATATATCTTTTAAAATTATTAAGTAAGTCCACTCTAATTTGCATGGCATGCACATATACCAATGGGAATTTCAACCCAATTATGCATTTTTCACTGAGCGATAACAAAATCCCAGGAAAGTTTTGAGTGCCGGCAGAAGTTTTTGTTCCGAATGCCAGTCAATTTGTGGCATTTGAATAAAATGGATGCAGCTTATGTGAAGTTTATGATGTGCCAGTGCCTCATGAATCGAGCGGATTGGGGCTTAGCCATCGGCTGTATGAATGTCGTCTACTCCTTTTTCCTCTTCCAGTTTTGGGCAGTGGAGCTCATCAGGTCCCTCGACAGTGAGTGTAAAAATTTGGTTACTGGCCAAGGGAGCTAACCGATGAAACTTTTTAATACCCACAGATTATCCCGTCAAGTGGGTGTTGTTATACGGATTTAATGTGATGTTTAATGTGATCACCATGATGAGGATAGTGAAGAGGGAAAGCATTTCGGTCTTTTACTGGATGTGCGAAACAGGTGCCCTTTTGATATTCCGCATGCACCATCTCTACTACCAAGAAGATGACTTTTGGTTGGCCCAAAGGGAATTGTACAAAGTGTCCAACATTATGCTCGATGGTGAGAAACTTTCCTATATTACCAAACATAACAATTTGAACTATTATATTCCTGTAGCTTATATTGGCATCTCGCTGTTAGCCATGGTTTATGTTATGTTGGGCTTGGATTTGGAACCCGATATAGAGTTTCTCGAAGAAGAAATGGTCAATGATTGCAAGTTCAACCCAAGAGTAGTTGAAAAGTCCGTCCAGAAGGAAGAAGAAGTCTTGGAAGGGGCAAGGGAAATGGAGAAGGAGCAGCAATTGGCCAAGCAGAAGGAACTAGAAAACGATCGAGAAATGGAAGAACTTAACCGTAAAGCCACTTTGAAACTAGCTGATATAGAGGAAGCGAGAACCCTCTCTGTTGAGGAGCTAACCCCTCCAATTGAACCAACTGCACCCGAAGAGGAACCTTATCCGGCCAGTTATTTCCTAGTAAATGAATACCCTGAACCTTCAGCTCCTCCCGAGAGTCAACTCAGCCTCGATGAGGAATTCTTCTGCGAGATCAATGGCATAGATGCCCTAGACGATCAAGTCAATGATATATCATTCGATGAATAGATAGCCATAAGTTTTAGTTTCGCTTGCAGCAACAACATAAACAATCTAAATGAAAGTAAATAACATTTTCACTTGACCCCCCCGAAAAGTCTGACCGCAACTTTTGGCAACAAAGCCCAAAACGTTGAACAACAAACAAACAAATGGAGGAAAACTTGACTTAACTTTTCCGAGGGGCTATATGTGTGGTGCGGGATGGGATTGGTGCTGTTGGAAAAGGGATTACGATCAAAGCGTTCGATTGAGTGTGTCAATAAATTCCTGCCAGTCGACCGAGTGTAGAACATTTGTCCGGCAGCGGCGATAAATAGTTGCCACACGCTCCCAGCTCAGGAAACAGAAAAAAAAAAAAAACAACGAAATAAGAAAGAGCGATCCCTTTTGGCCGGAAAGTTTCGTGTGAATTTAGTGCGGCTCATTAAGCCGGACAGTGTCAGTCATGTGTGTATGTTTGTCCAAGCAGTCCGGGTGTCGGGATGCCGAGGCCAATGGCTTTTTGTTCAAACTTCATTAAGCTGGGAGGAAATTGCCGGGCCATTGTCAGTCTCATTCTCATCCTCATTCCCATTGCAGTAGACTTTCGTTTAATAATGGCCTGGCGGGCATTTGTCAACGGGATGCTTTAGGATGGCCAGGCTTTAAATGAGCGCGCTCATTAAGAAAATTAATGTTTGGGATTCATTAAAAGTGTCAAAGTGCGCACATTAAAATTATATAAAACGCCAGCCAGGAGAGTGATGGCACTCGTAACGAAGCCAACGTCTCGACTGTTGTCGATTTTATTAACAAAACAAAGCATTAAAGGCGCATAAAATGTTGACATAGCACCGCGGCTTTGTTCCTGGCTGCTCATAAAACTGTCTCATATTGACGGCTCAAGAACTGACACGCACATAGCATGCCCTTGGATATATATACTCTATATACAAAAATATATATATACACATATCGTGTATCTTGTCAGAGCATCTCATAAAACTAAACCGCAATTCATCAGTAAATTCCTTCGGTTTTTCTCCTCATTTTCTTTTTCTTTGGTCAGCCTGTCTGCCGGGGAATATGCTACCGTTTTATGCGTCTCGTAAAATGCGAAAAAATTGTTTTTATTATAATTATTATGTTATGCATGGTGACGGGGCAAGTTTATTGCACTCGCACATAAAAGTCGAAACCTCGATGAAGTGATGATGCTGTCAAACTTAACTTGCTCTTCGATTTCGGTTTGGGGGTATTTCCCCTATTCAAGCCAAAAGTTGCTTATCTCGTTGCCATTTATAATGGCAAATTATTTGAGATTTTCGCTTAACTTTTAGCCATTTGAAACAATGACACACGCGTTGAGCAAAGTCAACAACCTCACCGAGTGCAGCGTGCATTGTGTCCTTGCGAAATGCTGCTGCTGTTGATGCACTGAAAGAAATAAGCATAAACTGTAATATATCCTATTAATAATATAATAAAATATGTTAAAATGAAATTGCATGTCAAGAATATCATTCATTTATTATGGTAAATCAGTTTATGGGGAGAAACTTTTGGGAATGGCGAAGGTTTTTTCTCTCTGTTACGCTACAGCGTTGAGGGTCACGCACTGGGAAACGCTTAACGCTCCCCAGCACCCACGCATAAACTCGATCCGTGGAAAAAGGGACTCGCACAATGGCAGTTTTACGTGCTGGCTGCTCCGAAGGACGTCGCGTATCCAGTTAAAGTTTCTGGCTCATTAGTATGATGCTTAAAAATATTAAATGTGAGCAGCTTGAGGGTCTCGTAAGTGCACAATAAGATAGTTAGTTGAGCGAACATTAAGATAGTTCTGGTCATAGAAATAAACTGCACTCTTAGAGGTTGAAATGCCAAGAGGGTTGCCGTCAATCTGGGCCCACGCGTCGTATGCGCAATGGCCAACCAATTGCAACAATCAATGTTTTATTGTTGAACAAATACGGTAGGCAAGTACCAAGGAAAGGGGACTGGTGGTCATGCCTCAAAGCCGCAGGCCACAAAGACAGGAAAAAGCAAAGAAAACCCGGGGAAAGCCCGAGCAGGCAAATAAATGAAGGCCGTAATTATTGCCAAGGAAAATACAGACGCCGGAACGGGGCCAAAATGTCACGTACTGGCAATAAACCGCTGCTAATTTACGATGCCCCGGACTGCTTCTGGTCCTGATCCTGGCCAAAGTCCAAGTCCAAGTCCGGACTTCTCCGGACTGTTCCAGCCAACAAAAGACGGGCGGAAGTCAAAAGGCAAACGCCTAAGCAGTTTGACCAACTCGAGAACTCCGGAATGTTTCGCATTACGGCCGTTGCATAGAAATGGCCGTCAAATTGACGGCAAGAGGGCGAACCTATCGAAACTGCCAATAACCAGGACAAAGGCCTAATGCGCATTAGCCGCCCTGGAACGTGCATTAGATATATTAAAATTGGAAGCTGTAGTCTTTGGATTCTATGGGTCTTGCATTGTCCGACACTGCGTTTTGTTTGCATCCATTAGCGGAAACGCACTGAGGCAGAAAACAGTGAACACTAGATTTTCTCATTTTCCTCGGACGAAATACCAAAAAATAATTGCGTTGAAAACTCGAAACTCAACAGGCAGTAAAGAGAACACAGAGGAAAATTCATTTTCGAGTTCGAAAAATGATTTCTCTTAAATTTCCCAACGTGGAGACTTGCCAAAATAAGCGTATAAGAGAATGCTGTTGGGGCGCCTGCGTCGGCTGGGCAAAAGTCTACAGTCTAAAATCAGCTGGTTTCGGTGATTCCATCTACTTCAAAACGGCCACATTGAAGCAGTTTGTCAATAGTTACGCTCAAGACGCGACGCGTCTGCCGAACCGTTTAAACAGCGCCGAGCACAAAATCTGAAAAATCATTCAAATATTTCAAAAATTCTATAGAACCCCCAACGCCGAAGACTGAAAGCCGAAATCAAAATAAATCGAACTCAAAACACAATTCTCAAATTGTTAAAAGCGGGTATAAAAAGCAGTTTAAACGCCAAGTGAAAACCTTTAACTTTTTTCTGATTAATTAAGTAACCGTAAACAAGCGAGACCCGCATAATTAGCAAGGCAAACAGGAAAAAATCCCGAGACTGAGTATTAAATCAAAAACCAAAAAAAAAAGATAAATTCAAATCAACCATTGACGCGCACACAAACAAACCAAAACGGAAGCTGTCCGTGTGTCCCTGTGTGTGTGTGTGTATGAGAGAGGTCCTCAGGAACTGGGGAATATCATAATCGTCATCATTATCAGCAGGAGCGGCAACAGCAGCAGCATCATCTTCATATCTTTCGTGGTCGCCGCTGCTGTCGTCATCGTTGTCACATCTCGGCATAAATATTTATGTTGACGAATCTACCTGCGGCAGAGCGTCGCTAATGAAGCGGCCAAAATGAAAATTAAAGGACATAATTATGCTTATGTGTGAGTATAATGAATACGAATGAATTTCATTCCACAAGGCCAACAAAAGGGGGAACCACTACCAACAGTGCACTTTGTTCAACGAAAAACCGCTCTGGGGATTTTTGTGCATTTTTCTTTTTCATTCATTCTGTTTGTTTGTATTTTCCGTTACGGTTGGAAGTCCCAGGACTTGGCCAGGTTTTCTTTCTTGTGTAAAATTGCAGTGCCCTTTTTTTTGGGGAGAGGTCTGAGGTTTATTGGTTCCCAACTTGATTAGTTCACAGAAATACAGACGAGGGTGTGTGTGTGTGCAATTAGGGAACTGCATTAGGGAAAAGTTTCCGCTGGCAAGTTGGTAACTTGAGTGCAAATTGCTGTCGTACAATCATCTTCATAAAGTTTGCACCAGCACGAGTCCATGAACTCTGTGTCATTGTTTGGAAGCAATCCATTGTTTCCATTCAGCTGCTAACTGAGTTATGACCCCATTCGGTTTCTGTTCATATTCCCACACATGCAGACACACTAACATTTGTATTGGAACCCAGATAGAGACCCCGCCCTGCCCCTACTAATTGGAATATTGTACGAGTCATTCTGGTGATCAAAACCAAAAGGCTGCTAAAAGATTACGCTGACACGACGGCTAGAAAAAAAGAGGAAGAGAAGGAGCTCCACTGCCAGCAGCAGACATTCAACAGAGCTTTTTGTATATTTATTAGAGTATGAATTAATTCAAGTATATGCCAGTATATGTGTGAGTGTGTCTGTATTGCGGGGAAAGAGTTAAGCCTTCGAGGCACATTCTGAATCAGATTCGTTGAACGGAACGGAAACTGGGTGGTGAAAAGCCACCGCAGACCGACGCGATTTTCCTCCTTTTTTCTCCTTGATTTTTTTTTCGACTATCCCCTAAGGCGAATTTTGTTGCAACCGTTAGCACATTTTTTTCACTCTCTCTCTATGTATGGCGAATGTAATTCATGTACACGACCTTGGTATATAACAAAAAAATGTGTGTGTATGTGTCTGTGTGAAAGCAACAACTCGCTTTCATAATTAAAATGCAGAAAGATATGGCCTAGGGTGGCGACCTGAAGATACCTCTCTTAATGCCCAGACAGAATTGAATTAATTTGCTTTTTCCATAAACAATATAAGTGTAATATATGGACAAAAGTAAGATTATTGAACTCGGTTGTAGAAGACGCTGCATACTTTAGGGCTGAAACAAAATATATTTCTGCTTTGCTAAACACCTTGAACTCCACACGGCACAAACATTTATAGTGCATTTATTAATAGCAGTTCCAGCTGTGGGCCAAGAAAACCTCTGAAAAGGCGAACGGGCGGATGACGATTACCTTGACTATGAAAATATTTCTCACACATGAGCTGCTTGGGCGCATCGCCATAGCCATAGCTATAACCCTTCCTCCTTCCGTTTCCGGTGCCACCCATTAACATTTTAGTCTATGGGAAAAGGCATAACCTAAAGCAGCAGCAGCAGCTTTTCAGCGAGGGTTGGGCGAAGCCTTCCCGCGAAATTAGCTAGCAAACGGAGATGGAGATTTCCGCCGACTGCAATCCATCAAGCTGCCTTCGCAGGTCAGGTGTTGGCCCCGAGTGTTTGCCTCAGACTGGTTAACTGCCTTCACCTGGGGACACCTTGACACAGACAAAGGTCAGGCCATGTGTGTTGGTCTGGCCGCACAAAGGCCAAGTGGCAAGCAAGCCCCAAACCAAAACCCACATCCGTTAGTGAATTAAGCAGGAATGCAGATGCCCCAGCGATTCACTGGTTGTATATATTTTATTTAGTTTTAGGAAACCTTTAAATATTAATTTTAGTTTCTCTCTAAATTCCTTGGATAACTCCGTGCAGGAATGCCATCGTAGCTGTCGTATCTAAGGGGCTGCCTTAGTTCTCTGGTGAGTCCAGGCAGAGGCAGCAACAGCAGCAGGGAAACCAGCAAAAGGAACTGCATCGCGAAACCAAGTGTCGGCAGCCACATTTCGAATGAAACTGAGCAAAACAAGCTGATAGCACAGATAGTGCCATCGAAGGGGAAATATATATAGCACAGCGAAAACAAGATTACTAAGTATTAAAATTCTTGTGAAAAGCAGGAATTAAGATAAGAATATATAGATTATAGATTAAAGCCCGGGAAAAATCAATAAAAATAGCAAAATAATTCCTATGAATAATAAAAATATTCGGAAAACACGTATTCTATATAAATCATTTCTAACACCCTTAAAAAATATATAAAATAGGTTTTTAATTTAAATCAAAGCAGATTTAAATTTAAAGCAGATTTTGAAGTGCTCGGGATTTTCCCAGCTCCCGTAATCGAGATAAGGATCCGAGAGGGTCAAGGGGCTCACAGTGGGTTGGCAGCTTGTAAAAAACTTGTGAAAGAGTTCGCTCGATTGAAATGATTAATTAATTGGTGGAATCGAGGTAAACTGAGCGCGTCGAGACGAGCATCATTTATCATGGTGTGAACTTAATTTGAAACGCCCTAGCATGGCTTCCATTGGGGAAATGCGAGTAAAAAATAAAAAGCGAAATTGTGTTATTTTAGGGCGGTACATTATGATTTCGTCTAAGGCTTTTATTTCTTGTTTTCCATAGACTTCTTCACAACCATTGTTTGCCATTCATCTCTGACTCCCCATTGACTCTCGAACCGCCCTATGTTTTGCAGTTTACGTGTTAAGTGCTTGGCAAGCACGATTAAGGCGCTTTATCACCCGCAACAACGGCAGCAACACGAACGACAAGCACGCCAGCAACAGCAAAAGCAACAGCAACACCAACGCCAACAGCAACAGCAACAGCAGCAACAGAGTCAACAGCAACAGCTGCGACGGCAGCAACATCACAAGCAGCAGCATCAGCAGCAGCAACACATTTCGCTATAGTCACACTCACTGACACGCCCCCAACCCAGATATATACATCTATATATATATATACAGTTATACAGCCAGATATATACACACAAAATGCTGAAAACTGTGACAACAGCGATGGCTGCCGCCGATGACAATGTCCCAGCGAGCATTTTGGAAATAGAACTGCCAGCCATTTTGCTCAACGAGAGCCTCTTCATCGAGCTGAATGGCAATCTCACCCAGCTGGTGGACACGACCAGCAATCTCAGCCAAATCGTCTGGAATCGCAGCAAGCTGGAAAACGGTAATGACAACAACAGCAACATTTTCGACCTGGACGCCGAACAACGGGCGGCTGTAGAGTTTTGGCTACTGGTCAAAATGATCGCCATGGCCGTTGTCCTGGGACTCATGATACTCGTCACCATCATAGGCAAGTACTTAATCAAAATCAAATCCAAATTTAAATTACCAAAAATAACAGAGAAAATGTCGGTGGTGGCCATGGGCATGGGCATTAAATTATTCTCAAATTTGTGCCGGAGGGATATGCATTGGTAAAAAGTTTCCATATCGCCGAAGAAAACTGAACTGTAAATGAAGTGAAATTTATGATGCAGAAGATTTTTATTGCGCCCTCTTGGAGGATTTTTATTGATTTTTGGGCTTACAAAGATGATTTGCTGCCTACTGCCTGCTGCCTGCTCTAAGAAATGGGCTTGGGAAATGGTCTTTGGATGGGTGTCGGGTGCTTAAGGGTGGCTGATTGTTTTGGTTGGCTGGATGATGTACGAGGAGTTCTTTGAGTTAAGCGCCGCAAAGATGCCAGCCAACGCAATAAAGCGAGCCAAAGTTTCCAAAAATGTTTGCCGCGGCACGTGAAAAGCTATTAAAACGGCGCCAAGGCGTCAAATGCAAATTACGACCAACACACACACTCAAGCACACACAATTCTTGGCACACGATGGAGGTGTTATTATACAGAGAAGAAATTGTTCAGTATGGTTAGTTCTATTTTTTTCCAGTTTATAAGTCTTTATACCCATTTTTCATTCAGATATCCCACAAAATGTTGTTGGCCTTAATTTAAATTGGGAAATTATAAAGTGATATATGATTAAATTCACTCTTAAAATTAATAATAGTTCCCTTATCTAATTAAATAATTTAAAAACAAGCTTTACAAGCGGTTAAACTGTTTTACAAAAGATTAAACTACACATTCTCACACATTTCCCTTTAAAAGTCAAAGTTACTTCAACCTAACTAAAGTTTCATATTGCATCATAATGAGTAACCTACAAAGGGTGATTATTTTCACAGACAGCCATACCCAACTAATCACTAATTTTGGTAACATTTTGCTCTGTGCCAACACACATACAAGTACACACTTCAAAACAGTTTCGGTGCCGTTGCGAACACACGTCGTATGCGCAACATTTCCCCAGCAAGACATATGCAAATGCATTTTCTGGCACGGGCCAAGCGACGACAAAACGTTTTGACAACCTGCAGACAAGCTCGCTGTCTCAGCAGCTCCAGTTGCCGAGGTTCGAGATTCGAAGCAGGGCAAAGGAAGGGGGGATGCTCTCTGGCATCACTATGGCAGCCATGGAAAAGCAGGAGGGATGGGCAAAAAATGGGGGAGGAGAGATGAGGTGGTATTGCGGCAATTACAATTTGCCAAGTTGCATGCGCTTAATCAAAGCAAGCAACGACAATGATGATGGCGATGATGGAGCTTGCAGCCATCCAGTTCTCATTTGCATCCCACAGGCGGAGGAGACAGCCAAAGAGAGAGAGAGATCCCGTGAAAGGACACCCGTGTGTGGGTGGAGGAGGGCTGGACGAGTGGTGCACATGCACGATTGCCTGCAATTAGGCTGGAAAATGAAGACTCTTTGACACGAAGCCTTTGCCACTGATTGATTTTGCCCGACTCCCCTGAAAGTTTTCCAACATCATCATAATCATACCACCATCAGGCCAAAGGAACGACACACAAAAGTTAATGACTCCCGGCCACTCAACATTTCCAATTAACTGCATTTGAATTTACTTAGCTTTTCATTGGCATTGAAACGGAAGGCTTATTGCTGCATTTACCGCATCACTTAATATATCAATTTATCAATCTATCATTTGATCGCTTTCTGATGAGGTTCTCGATTTCTATTCAACTCTCCACAGGCAACGTCTTCGTAATTGCCGCCATTATACTCGAGCGAAACTTGCAGAATGTTGCCAATTATTTGGTTGCATCTCTGGCAGTGGCTGATTTATTTGTTGCCTGTCTTGTCATGCCGCTTGGCGCCGTCTACGAGGTAAGTTCTGCTTCTTTTACATTATACACAGGAAGAAAGAAAATTCGTAAACTAGGAATATATAATGGAAGTTGAATTGAAAAAATGTAAACTACTAATAATATTACAAAAAACTGATATTTAATATATTGATATATAAGATATTTAATATATTTATGGGAATCTTAGTACTGGAGATATGGAGAGATATCAATTTATAAGCTTTTCTGTTACTGATAATTATATGAAAAACTTTAAAGATCTTAGAAACATTACCTATAAATGCTGATACCTATTATATATTAAAGAATCCTTTGATAGTAACACTCATCTATCCCAGTTAGAATAGTTCTTTTGTAATGTAATTTCACGCTTTAAACTGCGGCTCTTTGACGTTAAATTCCTTAATTTTGTGCCCTGTGTATTTACCACTGCCATTGCTGAACCAACTCGATTACCCTAATGGAAACTTGAGCAGGAATGCTGGCAAATGAAATTAGGCGCCAAAGAGTTGACACTGGCCCAGGGCAACGTCGTTTGCCGGGCGACTAATTGTTTCAATTGCATCATCACTGGCAAACAATGTGTTGCTGAATGCCACTCCTTTCTTTCCCTTCACTGCCACTCACTAACTCTCTCTCTCTCTCTTCTCCCTTTTTCACCAATTGTAAAAATCTCCAACGGCAGATAAGTAATGGATGGATATTGGGACCGGAACTGTGCGACATTTGGACGTCTTGCGATGTCCTTTGCTGCACAGCATCCATTCTCCATCTGGTGGCCATTGCAGCGGACAGGTGAGTGCTGCTGCCAGTCAGCCAGCCAGCCATTTCACACTGTGACTGATGGCAATTTGAACTTGCTTCCTCTATCATTTCCGTTGCAGATATTGGACGGTGACCAATATTGACTATAACAATCTGCGGACACCGCGTCGCGTATTCCTTATGATTTTCTGCGTCTGGTTTGCGGCACTGATTGTCTCCCTGGCCCCGCAATTTGGCTGGAAGGATCCGGATTATATGAAGCGCATCGAGGAACAGCACTGCATGGTGTCGCAGGATGTGGGATATCAGGTGAGCAATACAGATTGCAGTCATCTTTGGTTTATGGAGTTAAGTGAAGAGATTTTCAGCGTTGTTAATGGATATTTAATATATACTTTTGTTAATATACCATAACTCTCTTTATCTATCAGATATTTGCCACCTGTTGCACTTTCTATGTACCGTTGCTGGTGATTCTGTTTCTATACTGGAAAATCTACATTATTGCGAGGAAACGCATTCAACGACGGGCTCAGAAGTCATTCAATGTAACACTAACCGAGACAGACGTAAGTTAATCAATAACGAGGCAATCTCAGTTGAAGCTAAGTGCCTCACAAAAGCCAAGTGATAAATGCCAAGTGTCCACTTAGCCAGCCTCCCAAAGGGAAAGAATGGAAAAATTACTCATACGCCCAGTGGTACAAATAAAGATATTCCACAAGCATGCAGCTATTCTTTTCAGCCATTTTCCCTCCTTTTTTTCGGGGCTGGCCGAGTGGATGTTGATGCCGCTCTGTTCGAGAAGTGTATTTGCTTGCCTGCCATAATGAGTGTGTCATTAACAGAAACAATAATGCGAATGGGGAGGTGGCAGTTGGTGGCCGATGCCGGTCGTGGGGAAGTCCTCAGCTGCTCATTAGCATGCCCAAGTGAACACTCGAAGCGAGCCGCTGCGGCGAAAGCCAAACAAATGCCAACCGAGATTTATGATCACCCCAATGTGTGGCCTGGTTTTAGGAGCAGATAATTACACTGTTAATTATTCAGTTTATAAATGAAAAAATGTTGAATTTAATTAGAAAGATTTAATTTGCAGAGTAACTTCAAAAACTTGAGCTTCTAAACTAATATAAAGAATATAACTTAAAGAACTTTTATATACAAAGATAAAATTTACATAAAAAAAACTTTATATAATGTAAAAAAGTTAATATACAAATTTATGCATTTCATTTTCTCTCCGTGTATCTGGAACACCTAACCCAATTGGAAGTTTAAGAAATTCCAATAATACTTTTGATTTTATTTTATTTCGTTGACAAGACAAAAGCCAAATGTGCTTCCCCGAACAGTTTTCATCAAGTTCATAAACAAGTATGGCCCATAAATAAGTCTAGTACTAACAATTCACACGATTTTATTTTTATCAAAAACCCAACAGTGCGATTCCACGGTGCGGGAGATGAAGAAGGAGCGCGGCAAGCGGCGGGCGGAGCGGAAGCGTTTGGAGGCGGGGGAGCGTACCCCGGCGGACGGTGAGGCCGACTCGCAGATGCAGCGGCGTCCCCGCAAGCGGATGCGTATATGTTTTGGCCGTAATACGAATACGGCCAATATTGTGGCCGGATCGGAGGGTGCGGTGGCCAGATCAATGGCCGCCATTGCCGTGGACTTCGCCAGCCTGGCCATTACCCGCGAGGAGACCGAATTCAGCACCAGCAATTACGACAACAAAAGCCACGCGGGCACCGAACTTACCACCGTTTCCAGCGATGCGGACGATGTAAGTACGCCTATTGTCTTGCCATGTAATTGGGCAATACAGTAGAGCTTCTATAAGAATTACAAAAATATTAAAGGCTATATGTAAAAATATTTATAATAATAAGATAGATTAAAGTTATATTTAGTCTTTCCTTTAATTAAAAAAACATTTTAATAATCCGAGTGAAAAAAGCTTAAGTAAGACTGTATATTACGGTCATAGTCATTTGTTCGTAGCGCGCCCCTTTGTTAGCGTTAGATTAACCCTTGATCCCTCTCCCTCAATTTAACCCTTTAGTACCGCACGAGCAACGCGAATGAAATCATCACGCTGTCGCAGCAGGTGGCCCATGCCACGCAGCACCATCTGATAGCCTCGCATCTGAATGCCATAACGCCGCTGGCCCAGTCCATCGCCATGGGTGGTGCTGGCTGCCTGACAACGACCTCGCCCTCGGAGAAGCCAGGAGCGGGTGGAAGTGGTGAAGAGGTGTCCGGAACGGAGGGCACTAGTCCGGGAAAGAATGCTGGAGTGGGTCTGGGCGGTGTACTGGCCAGTATTGCCAATCCGCATCAGAAGTTGGCCAAGAGGCGACAGCTACTAGAGGCCAAGAGGGAGAGAAAGGCCGCCCAGACACTGGCCATCATCACCGGCGCCTTCGTCATCTGCTGGCTGCCATTCTTCGTGATGGCCCTCACAATGAGCCTGTGCAAGGAGTGCGAGATCCACACGGCGGTGGCATCACTCTTCCTCTGGCTGGGCTACTTCAACTCGACCCTGAATCCGGTATGTAAATTAGCTTCTACCAATGGCCTTCTCCTTTCAGCTTAAATTGTATTTTAAGTTTTCATTTTTGGCCAAGAACTCTTTCAATACTTTTTTGCCGTCAGAACTGTGAAACTTTTCCTTTAAAAATGTAAATTAATTTTTATCCTAAATTAAAAGTTTAAAAAGCTGATCAGTTTTTAAAATACAAATTACAGCAATAAATTATGAAATTTAACACTTCCCCTATACCAGGTCATCTACACCATCTTCAATCCAGAATTCCGACGAGCCTTCAAGAGGATTCTCTTTGGCCGAAAGGCTGCTGCCCGTGCGCGTAGTGCGAAAATTTGATTTCAACTGAAGGATGACGAGGACCAGTATTTGTAATTAAGGTCAGGCGATGGAGAAGCCGAAGTCACTTAATGACTTCAAGGCAATATGCTACGGAATTGGCATTGTTTAAGGCATAACTAGCAAGTAGAGACGATGTTTTAGCAGTGACAATCCTAACTAGCTGTAACTAATTAACTAAAATTCCTCACCACACACACGTGCCCCAAAAAAGAAAGACAAAATACGAGAGAAAAACCAAAAGAAAATTGTAACCGAAACCAATCGAGAAACGGAAACTTGGAATTATGGTAGCTGATACTCACTAAATATAAGTAACGCGTATGTATAGTAATTTATAAATATTTCTAAAGTCTTCCCTGTGTCTTAAAGAAACCCGAAAGTAGTACATTTAGATACCCTAGAACCCTAAGTAAGTCGAAGGAGCAGAGATCGGAGATCGAAGATGGTGATCGGTTATAGGCTGGGTCCAAAGAACTTCTTACGCTTTCATATTCTGTGTTAGTTAAAAAAAAAGAAGATAAAACGTGTGTTTAGTTATAGCCTAAGCTGAGAAATGCTCAATTATTTCGATTGGATTAAGCACACTAACACCAAAGTCAATATCAAAAACAAAAATATAACGAATTTACACCGCAAACTCATGACGACACACTGTGTAGCCCCGAAAATCCCGGAAAATGTTACATAACACCATAAAGGGTTAGCCACCGAAGTCACGGCTAATTAGGCAAGTACACCCAACTTTATTCAGCAAAATTAGCATAAATTGAAAAACCGAAAGTTGAACTTTTGTTGCTAATATTCCTCACACACACACACATACACACTCGAAAAATAAAACCGAGGAAACCACAACAAAAAGTTTAAGCCATGATACATGATATGCAGTTCTATGCTGCACGCAGTGCACTATGTGGAATTTGACCCGTTTATGTGGCCAAAATTAATATTTTTAAAATTAACAAAATTTTCCACTACAGGTTTCTTGTATAATGATGGTTATGACTAAAGGAAGATATTTTTGAAAAGTGGGCGTGGCAACGCCCCCCCCCTCCGCCCACAAAAGTTTAATATTTAGCGGAATTTTCATGTTAGAGACCCCAATTTTGGAACACAGGATAAATGTCAGATTTCAATTGTGTCCTGCAAATTTGGTCCAGATCGGATAATAAATTTAGAAGTTATTAAAAAAGAAATTTTTTTGGTAGTATTATTCTAGTTATTCATTTTCAACTGCATCATTTTCATCAATTTCATTATTATTATATAAAAAAAGTATGTATTTTTGTTCTTTCCTTGCGTCGATACCATTTGAAAACTAAATTTCACCAGCCAACAGTTGGATGACTTCTACTTCTACTCCCTTGCTTACGCCAAACTTGTGCATTGCTGAACAAGAGGTTGCTTCCTAAAAATTCAAATTACGCAAAGATTCGCAAATAAACGCAAATGAGCTAATATATTCTGAATTCAGAATTGACAAATCTATAACATAGTTATGGACACTCACTGATACTCTTTGAAACTTTTTTTAAAACCCTTTGCAAAGTTCAACTTTCTTTCTATAAGTGACAAAGGAACACCACTTACTAAACATACAAATTGTTAAAAAAAATACGAACGAAACACACAACGTATTAGTATAAAAAAATAGTATTAACCTTAAGAATCAATATTCAATTTGAATTAGATTATTTAATGATTTTTTCTAAGAGATATGCAAATTTGAAGTTGCACCACAAAATTAACATTTTTAACAGCACGTGGTTTTCGCTTGCAACAGCTGACTTTAACAGCTTGTATTTTAACAGTAAGCTGTTAAATTAACATTTTAGGTATGTAACACAGCATTTTGATCATTTCTTAACTTGGTAAAATTGAAAAAACGTAAATTTGTATATTTTCAAAAAATGAGTTTTGGCCACAAAAACGGGTCAAATTCCACATAGTGCAGTGGTAACACACACACACACATATATCTATAGATGTATAGTATAGTATATTTATGGTTCAATTTTTGAAAAGTTTTCTTGTAAATAAACGGACTTACAGTTTTAGCAAATAGTAAACCAACAAAAAAAAAAACCAAACCTACAACCACAACAAGAGCAACAACCACTCGAAGAACAACTATATATACATGTGGGTCTGGACGAAAGGGCCATTAAGTCAATGCTGCAGTTGAAACCTAATACGCTTCGGTATGCACATATATATCTACGTATATATATGCGTACCTACACATATGTCTATCTTGATATGTACTTGTATGTGTTTTGTGTGTGCGTGTGTCCGTATGTGTTTATGCAACTTCTCGATGTGTACTTGATGTCAAAGTTATTAAAATTGTGTTTTATCAAAAGCGTACGCCTGCATTCGATATTTTATTCATGGTTGATGGTGGGATATGGTGGGTATGTTTGGGAAGGGGGCTTATATTTCGGTACCTCCAAAAGGGACATGGGACAGGGGTCAGGAGTTCAGTTTTCGTGTGTTCGTTTCGGTACTCGACTCTAAATTGACTAACTTTTCAGTCCAATGCTGACCGCACGCACGTCTGTATTGTTTGTAGCTGGGCAAAATGTCAGCGCATTGAAATGTCAAAGTTCAAGTGCACACTCACACCCCCAAAAACAAGGTGGGTTGGGAGTGGCCAGTTGGTCGGCGGAGATGGCGTAGCAGATGGATTACGCATTGGCATTATCAACACCGGAACAGGCCAAAGCCGACAAATGGCCCAGAAGCAGCAGCATCAGCATCAGCAGCAGCAGCAGCAAAAAAATCGATACATCATGCAGGAAGCAGAGGGCAGGGTTCCGGGGTCGTGGGGAATTCGTGTAATACATTTCGGTACTTCACTACATCCCCAACACCCTCTTCACGTCCATTTTTCCTACCCCCCTCACATCTAGCTGTCTCTGGCTGCAAGTAAGCTTATTAACAGTGGCTCTTCGCAGATGGAAAATGGAGTGCCGAGTGCCTGGTGGGTGTTCAAGAGCCGAAAGTCAGGTGTGCGATTGAAGAGCCATCAGTCAATGGGCCGTAACCACAGTTGCCACTTCAGAATCTTCAAAGTGCCAAGAATTTAAAGATTTCTTTTTAGGTAATTAAATTGCGTTTGTATTTGATTGCTTTACTAGTAATGTGGGATTATTATAATATATATAAGCTTATACTTGATACGTTTAAGAATAGATTGCAATTTGTCTTGATTTTTAAAATATAACACTTACCTAATTAGTCATACAAAAAGTTTTGTGTTTTCTATTGAGTCTCTAAATACATACCATATACACTTTTAAAGATATTTTCATTATCAAATGTATAGTTTAATTCCTAGCTGATAGTCCCATGACCACAAGAATCACTGTAGATCCACACACAATCAGGGCTACCCGGAATAATATTTACCAACACTTTTAATTTCCTGTTGGGCCCGAAGGAAATGTCCTGCGGCAGCGTCATAATAAAAGGAGAAAAGAATTACAAAATCTGCCTGAAAAGTGAGTGAAAATTTCGGCTGCCAGCAAAGTTCGGGATAATGACAAATTAAATAGCATCAACTTGAGCAGTCGTCGTCCATGGCCATGCAAATAATAATGATAAAGTCACTCGGGGAAACTTTTCAATTTGCTGGCGAGCGGTAAATGAAGCAGGAGAAGGCTAAAAAGGACGAGTGTCCCAAATGTGACACATCATCGATATATCTACTCACACACATACTCCAGCACACACACACACACACACACACACATGTCAAGGTGCGTGCCTGTGTATTCAGGCCTTTATTAGCCTAGTAGCATTATTAATTTCCTCCCTGGCACACAGCAATGGCAATAGCTGCAGGATAATGCCAATAAAATTCGTTTTATTAAAAAATTCTTTTGCCAAAAAATTCCATAAATCGAATAAATATCGAGTGGCACTCCGGCAATCGTTAAGGGTATGGGAGATGGGGCAGTTAATATGCCACATGAGTGGGGGCAGGCATTCAGCAGACTGGCAGGCAGGAAGGCAACGACAGCAGCAGGACCAAAATCCTGCTCTGTTTGCTTGGGCATCAATTTTTGAAGGCTCCTTGAGCCGCACCGAACGAACTTTTGGGCAAGCAATTCAAAAGGTATTAAAAGTATTAAAACAGAAATGAGTGTGGCCCAAGTATCTATCGGCAGGCCGCATTAGGATCTTCGAGTGTGTGGGTAACTTTTAATTGAATTGCATTGAGAGTGTGCAAATTGCTTTAAATGATTAAGGGCTTAGGGCATGGCTTTTGCTCAGATCCAACTACACGATGATACACCTGGAAAAGTTAGCTATTTCTAGAAATTATCAAGTTGTAAAAAGGCGCACGTTTGTAAAATATATCAAAGATATGTTAAACGACCACCTAACATTCCCAATTACTTTTAAATCAATCATCATATTTCCGATTTTTCTGTCTGTACTCTTGCGTTTGAGCTTAACTGCAATGGTTTGCGGCCAGCTGCCATCGAGGTGTTTATAAACGTGAACGCTATTCATTAAAGCGCTGCAGGTGAGACAGCTCGTAAAAGCGCGTTAAAATCATGAAACGATAACAAGAAAAAATGAAAAAAGTGGCAACAGAAAAAAGTAAGCAGGTAAGTAAGAATACTTAAAGCTCCTGGCACCAAACAAACTCATTGGGAAGTTGTTGACACCGCTGGTGGGGGCAGTGGGCACCATTCAATGGACTCTGCCAGGACACAAAAGATGAGTGTCCACCGCCCTGGAAAACTTCGACTTTGTAAAGACTTTTTGCAAATTGCGGCCAAGTGCACTTTTCGTTGCCTTCGTCGAATCTGATGCCGCATTGTGGTGCCAGCTCCAGCCATGGACATTTGACAGGTGGGCAGGATGGGCAGGTTGGGTCGGTTGGCCAGATGGGTTTGGTCATGAAAGGACACGACTGCTGTTCCTGGCGCTCCGTCTGCCTGCCTGTCTGCACTAATTACGAAATAATTGAAATCATTACGCAAAATGAGAGCAAGCAAGTTAAAGTTCCTAACGGGTAAGTCTTCATCTCAGGTTTCAGTTAATGAAAGCAGCCGCTCAATATTTCAACGAAAAATACGAGTCCTTAGCACTCAACTCACCTCAACTTGTGCAGATTGCAACGATTCGGAAGCATTACATTTTCGTGGCATATCTACAGGAAAGCTTCTTTAAACTGGATTCACTAGTTTTTAATGGACATTTTTTGTCATAAATCTCGAGGGGAAAACCAAACCCATAAAAAGCGATATGCACAATACTTTATCTGCAATTTGAAACCTCAAAAAAATATGAAACCTTTGTTGAAGCTAAGGACTTTGGACTGTAGCTGGAAGTCCGCTATCGTGTCAGTGCAGCTTATTCTTTTGGCCAGCAGCTTTTGGCGCTGACAACTAGCGCAAAATGCCAAAAAGGACACGTATGTAATGAACACAAACACGTACGAAGCTGAAGCAGGATGAGAAGGAGTATCAGGAAGAGCAGGAGCAGAAACATCAGCGACAACGCTCGAGACTTGGCCCAGAGATAGGACCTGGCTTAAAGTTTCAGCTGGCAAAGTTGCAATAGCGCAGATGAGGCAAAAAGACAGGCCAGCTAGCCGGCAGCCCTTGGCCAAGCACGAACGGCAGAGCGGAAGAAAAACTCAAACTTGCTGGCAAAAGTTTTGCAGTTGCTGCATTTGTAGTTTCTCCTATCCGAAGGGCGTCCAGAATCTGGTATGGGTTAGAGTTTTTGTTAGGGTTTGAGTTTCGGGGCTCAGGACTAGAGGCTGGAGGCTAAGGGTGATGTGCAGCCGGCATGGCGCTCAACGCCAGCGGAAGTTACCATCCCGTCCTGTCGACTGTTGCATTTTGGGAACTGCGAGCTGCCAACTGGGAGCGGAGATAAACACAGAAAGAAAAAGGTTTGTGTTTTTCTATCTACCGGCAAACCCCATGAGATTTACTTTTTATAGATAGTTTCATGAATATAAAATAAACATTTATGGTAATTACATTCAAAATGTTTGTTGATATTTTGATAGTTCCCTTAGGGAGTAGAATGGGTTTAGTCTATTCATTTCATAATTTAATGATAGATTTATGAATTTGAAAAGAATCTCTATTAGTTGTTCTTAAATTTGTCTTATTTTTGTTTGAGAGCAAATTTTTTATGAAACTTTACTTTGTTAATAATTTTATAATTAATTTATATCATGAGGAATACCTCTTATAAAAATTTGATATATTTTTAAAAATATAGTTCTTGGGTTTTCTTAGTAAAGTCATTAAAAATGCTAAGCTTTAAATAAATATAACATTTTGGAGATATTTTAATAGTTTAGAAATGTAAAAAAACTTAAGTTTATATATTTTAGAATTTGTTATGCCTAAATAATGTTATTTTATGAAATTTACAATAAATTTAACATTATTATTGAGGAATTACCTGCTTAAGAACCATTTTCTCTCAGTGCATTTGTTAGGAAACGCTTGTGTAGTTGCTGCTGTTATTGTTGTTGTTCTTGTTGCTGGTGTTGCCATTGTTGTTATTGCAGTTTTTGTTGCTGTCCTTCTTGTTGCCAGTTACAAGTGCCGTTTGCTTAATTTTTATGCACTTTCCAGGGTGAGAGTGTGTGTGTGGAAGTGCGCGTGTGTGTGTGTGTATGTCAGTATGAGTGTGTGAGCAGTTATTGCTCTTGTTGGTTTTCTGCATATTTACTTGGCGGTGGGAAATGGGCGGCACTGGCGGAGCACTTGCGTAAACGAGGCTACGCTGCTGGCCCGCCAAGTTTCGCACAGTTGAAGGGTAAACTTTCCGGCGAACGGCGAACGGCGTGGCCTTGGCTAAGTTCAGACACTGACATTGTGACTTCCGTGCCAGCCGCCCACAGCCACGATAAATGAACCCGAAATTGAAATTTAATGTAGCATCATCAGCGGCAGCGGCACCGGCAATGCAACATCTGCAGGGCCATCATTTGCATATATTCAGCTGATGGGATTTATGCCCCATACCCATGCGATCTGATTTCGTTGGAGTGGCAAGTAATGCGTATTAACAGAGCTACTCATATGTATATTTCGGGGTGCATATTGTAAAATCGTAATCGTATAGTGACATATGATCAATGTATACTTCTGCTTAAGCCTCCCTGAATTAAAAAAAGGGTTTGATAATTTATGCAACATTTTTGCGGGGCTTATATGATTCGTTCTCGCTTCATTTTATTCGCCGGTAAATCCATATTTATTTATTATCAATTTCTCATTATATTTTACCTAATTACGCTGTAAAACGGAAGAGATTAACTTAATCCCCAAAAGCATTCTTATTAAAAACAAACAAAGATATGAAACTAAAACTATAAAATC